ATAGTTTTATTTAGCCTTCCTTCTAAAAATCAATCCTAAGATCTCTAATGTAGCCGACCCACAGTTCCCAAACTGCAAATCCGCCGCTAACTGATAACTATTTTACCCGACATGAACTACACTGTCTCTCGGTGAATGTAAACAATAACAGTAACATTTTGAATTTTTTTTTTTTTTTAGCGATCTACACTCCTACAGAACCCACAAGCGAAGCCGGGGAAATGCAATTTCGTGCGTGCGCAACGTGCACGGTTTGAGTATATCATCAAGAACGTGCCTCTTGAGGGTATAAATCCCCTCTCCGGCCATGCTTACGCTTAAATTTCGCGTTTCGTAAAAATGTCTGTATACAGATTTAATAAAAACTCATCGGGAACCGTAACTATTTTGGATAGGTTATAAAATAAAAAAAAAAAAATATAAAATAAAATATTACAACGGCAACAGGTTGGTCGGCGGAAAATTCTCCAGCGACAATAACGGTGCTCTGCTGCTTCTTATGTCTTTTTTTTTTTTTTTAAATCGTCTATCGTATACACGTCATATTATATCATTATTATATTTTCCGTGCTATAGCGCAAAATTCGATTGAATATTTGAATATTATTACAATATTATTAAGGTCTTCGCGTGCCGACAATTATTATTATTTACCATTTCCGGTTGTTGTACATGTTGTATTCGCGGTAAAACATCAATTTTAAAACCGCGTTTAATTACGTCGGTAATAATAATAATTATAATACCTAATTATATTATTATTATAACGTTTGTTTTCAACGTGGTTTTTCGGCAATTTCGGTTTTCGTACGTAAAAATTAAAAAAAAAAAAAAAAAAAACCGCTTACGAGCATAATCATTACAGTAAATGCGCTGCGACTGTCCCGACCGAGGGGCCACTGAATTCTTCAGAACAGTGTCCAGGTCCGCGGCTATTAGTGGGTTACGTTTTGTGAAACTCCTTTGTACAGTGAAACCGACTCGGTTACGTTTCGGCTCGGTCCGGACACGGGACGGGTCTTGTAAATACGCGACCGAACGGTGCCGGAAATAACATTATTAATGACGGAACTACTGACACAAAAGAAAAGCAAAATAATAAAGTAGGTACCTAAATTTTCTTTTGCTCCGAAAAGAATAGAAAAACCAACGATGGTCGTTTTTAAAAAGGCCCGAGCCAAAATCCAAGACCGTAAAAAAACGATAAAAAAGATTCGCGCGATACGATAATAATGTAATGTTATATTATTCTCGTATTGTCGCTTTGCCAAATTAATCGAATTATTGTCGGCCGATAACTTTGACGTTGGGTATTGGTGGCGAGGAGGAAAGCCAGCGCGGGAAACTATAAAAAAATCCCCAAATATATTAAAAAACGATAATCGGGAGAATCGTAAATTCGTAGAAAGTTATCGTACGAGTATATTATTATTATGGGCATACGTTTCAGGACCAAAAAAAAAAAAACAACGACATACTTTCCACCGCGAGTGGGCTTAGGTTGTATGTGATAAGTTGGAAAGATAGTATATATGGATATATGTAGACGGGAATTTAATTTATATCTGTACGCGACGATTATTCATTACTATAACGAAAAACGATTCTAAGCGGAGCTCGGCCGATAATATTGTTTTCTCAACAATGCGCGTTTCCACGACAGAAACGGTCGTTTAAAACAAAAATTAAAAGATTAAAAACAATAAAAACTGAGTAATATATTCAAAAATAAATAAATCGTCGGGTTCGACGACCTTATTTTTTAATCGTTAAATATTTTTCAACCATAAGAACCGGCTTTTCCTCGTCATCTGAAATATTAATGAGAATTTCAAAAACCGACACCTTCCTAAAGTACCGCGACTAAAACGCGACAAAAAAAAAAAATTGTCACTCGTCGCGTTTTAATCGGCGCGAGATTTCTGGGTGGAATTCCTTTCGCGGCATAAAAATAAACATCATTGTAAATCCTGCAATGCATTCCAGTCGATTCGCCCGGAATCTAAAGGCGAAGCACACCGCGTGTTGCGCAATAATATAATTAATTAAATTAGAAAACGAAATAACATAAAAAAAAAACCGGATGTCGCGGTCGGCGCGTGGGTGTGTCGCCGACAGCGGGTATGTCGCGTTATTAAATCCTAAAGAGATCCGTGTCGGTTAGCAGTGTTAACCCGTACGGTTCGGCTGTTATGCAATGACAGTGTCTTCTTCCGGAAGGAAAGAAACCGAACCGCGAGACGTGTATTCGTACGACACGGACTTTTAATTATTTAGATTGGCATACGAAAAAAAAAATGCACGCACGCAAGAAAACACGGACATCTCCGTTATTCATTTACGACTCGCAATAAAATATATTAAATGCGCATAATAATGTCCGTATTACTCTGCGGCACGAACGAATACTGTTCGCCAAATCGAATCCGAATAACGAATAACGAATCGATAATGATAAAAAAAAAAAAAAAAAACGCCGTCCTAGGATAACGGGGACGGGTGCGGCTACCGTTGCAGCCGAGAAGTCGGGGTGGTACCAGTGGGGAAATCTGACGTACGTCTGTGAGCGACGACAGAACCGATGCTGACGGAGCCGGGGTCCCGTTGACGGTGTCGCTTTGAAAAACGGTACAATATATTACGTCGTAATATCGCGGTAAAACGATTATAACCGTATGGCATTTGACCTATATACGTTTTCCTCGTTAACGTTTAACATTTAATATTGTATCTATTTTTCCGTTTTTCCTATAGTACCCGCCGCGGTCGGATTTCCTTTCGGAAAAAAAAAAAAATAATAAATAAATAAAAATTAAGCATAATCATTGTAAAACCGTACGTTTTGTTGTTCCACTCAGAATCTAAAATATAACAATCGTTATTATTTTTTCCGATTGGTTGTTTTTTTTTTTTTTTTCATTAACATATAACAATTTTACAATAAAATGTGTCCGACGACCTTAATTTCGTTTTACCACCGTTGCTTATGATATTGCGTTGCGGCAAAAGCCGTTTTTTTCGCACAAATCGATTGTTTAAACCAGACATCGGTCTTAACACCCGCCGATCACGGTTTTATTTTCAAGCAGTTCCCGAAATCTTTGTGCGATTTCGTATGCGCGGTCTTGATTTCAGTTCAAAACAAGTCGTTTTGCAGGTACGCGCGTATAACTGAACGTGTAAACCCACCTTAATAATACAGTGTTGTCGTTGCGGAAGAAATTTTAATTCCGCGTAAAATAATAATAATAATAATAAAAAAAACACTGTAAATCAACGGCGCGGGGTAGTATAAAAGTTTTTACTATTATTATTTTTTTTTTTTTATTTTTTGACGGCGAACAATTATAGTTTGGTGTTCTTCCCGCGAAACCCGGGGAAAATCTCGTAAAACAAAAATAAAAAAATTCTCTCGGGCGTCGACTACGTCGTTGGTACGTCGTCTTAAGGTTCTCAAACAAAACGATACTGTTCAACGGGTTCACCGATGAGAAGAGGGGGGAATCGGAGAGTAGTATCCGTGCGGTGATTTGATTCACGTGTATATATGTATATACACACGCTACGATAAACCGTCGCCGACGACAAACGATTCTGAACCCCGGCCGATTTATGTACATCCGACAACCGACGAAAACGTTCCCGCGTATTGAGAAAACTGCTAGGGGGAAAATATCCCCTCCCCATAACGCGTCGTCGGCCTGATCGAAAACCCTACGAAAAAGTTCCCGCAAAGTTTTCGATTGAAGCGAGATATCCGTAGCCGTAAAGTTTTCCAAGGCAAAAAATAAAATTTTAAATACAACCCCGTCATATTGTAACAAGACGCCGTTCGCTCCGTTAAAACTATATCGTATTGCTGTGATTAGATTTATATTCTCTCACAATCCACAAAAAGGCGCTTGAAAACGTCAAAAAGTCCCCGAAATAAGCACTTACAAACGTTTGAAATAATTAAAAAAAACGATAGAGTGATAAAAATGTCCCCTCCCCCCCCAATGATGGCTCTAACTTTTTAAATTCGATGTCCTAACACTACGAAAACGGTTCACACGAAATAAATTACCTTTTTTATGAAATCGTGCGTACACTACAAAATAATAATAATTTCTGTAGCGTCGGAAAATTGTATTTCCATCGCGTCTATAACTTTTGCTTTTTTTTCAAAACTATTATTTACAAGTGCTTTTGTTTTTTTTTTTTACGTTTTCGAGTGTCTTTTTGCGGATTTCCGGGGAGTAAAAATCCGGTCTCTACACACATACTAATTGGTAACCAATTGATAACACCCTATAATCAATCATTTTTACTGTTTTGTTGTTTTTCTACGCGGGAACGATATAATATGTGTATATATATTATACGGACAAGTGGGGAGGGGGGGGGGTGAAAGAAAAAAAAAAAAACCATATTGATTTTCACCTCCTGCATAACGTACGGTTGTATATAAGTCAGTGATGCGGCGACGGTGGTGCCGCCCGCCCGTTCCGTTCGAAAACCGCGGCGGATAATAAACGTCTCATTACCGAGCCATTCCTTCGGTTTCGTCACTGTACGCACGAGCGGAAACACCTCGCCCACGAGAAATTCTCAATACCGCGACACAGTACGCAGTACAAGACGGCCGCGCCGTACACGTTTTATTGCCGCCGGTCCCCTTCTCCTCCCTCCGCACGCATTTTACTATTATTATTCTTTTATTTTTTTTTTATTATTTATATATTTCGGTCGCCGGCCGACCGTATATTCTGTAGAAAAATAAAAAAGAGGAAGAAGAAGAAGAAGCGAAATACGTGTAAAATTTGCATTTATTCCGCGTCGGTTTGAATACGATAATATAAAAAAAAAAAAAAAAAAAAAACCAAACGTGAAATAAAACAGATACAAACGTACGACGCGACGTTACGGCGGATTCGGTCTTGCGGTGTCATGCGAAACCGATCGTCTTTTCGACATCCAACGGACTGTCGCGCGGCCCACACCGATCGGATCGTTTTACGATGTACTCGTGGCGAACGACGACGGCCGGCACACGCGTCGTCGGGCGAGCTCGCGGCGACGGCGACGTTCGTTCTGGAATCGTTGCAGACGTCGTCGTCCTAGACGCACAATGTTCGCCGTGTTCCGAATTCAAAGTCAATCGTTCGCGGCGCGGCGCGGACCGATCGCAGAGCAAATCGAGCAACGGTCGGACGCAACGTTGTCCATCGTGGTCTTGGCCGGCTGCGATGCACAAACGGCGTAAAATGATTATCGCGTATGACGAATGCGGACAGAGGAACAACGACGAGACGTTTTCGCATTCGGCGGTTTCTAATCGAGCGAAACGAGGCCCGGGGGTACGTTTCGATTTGTCGTGATTGCCGGCGTAGGTTCCGTACGTTTCAAAGACGCGGTCGTCCGGTGGTTCATTTATTTACGTCCAACTGCCGCCGGAACGATCGGCAGCGTTTTACGAAACCTACATCGTATCTCGTCGCGCGTGCGTTCGCCTGAGAAATATAAACGTTATAAGACGAAAAACGCGTGGAAAACGTAAAACTATTCATTTTCGGTTAAACAATATCGACAACCGCAACGGTTTCGGTCGGTGTAGAGAAACTGTTAAAAAATGTCAAAAAATACAAGCCCGTATCTATTTTACGGGAGAAACGGATACAAATAAAATAAAATACTCGGCGACTCAGCGTTCGCATATTGTTATTGCGTCCTTTCGCGTTTCGACTCTTGTTTTGGATTCTGAGCGGGGCTAGGAATGCGTTGGTTTTACAACGATGTTTATCATTTTGTTTTTTTTTATACTGTGTACAGAAATTCTACCAGAAATCATGCTCCGAAGTGGCCGTTTTTTCGATTTTCCAAGCGGTTTCCGTAATAATTGGAAAAAACGGGAAAATGTGCGCGTACATAAACGCAACCGAACTCCGCTCCGAATCGTTTTTCGTTAGCAATGGTTTATCGTTGCGCATAGATAAAAAATTTAAACTTCTCTCTATGCATGATTACTGCAGTGCCGGACGAGCGAGGCCAACATTCACACGAATAAAAATGTATGAAAACAATAACGGGTGACGTGACACCGGCAATCTTCGTTGCGGATAAGCGAACACGTCTCGTCTGTGGTTTTTTTTTTTTTTATTATCCTATGCCTTTGGGAGAGCGATTTTATCGTCATTTTTTCCTTAACAGCCGCACGTCAAATAACAGTATAATAATATTATAAACCGCAGCTGCTGGCTGTCACGATTCCGTCGTCCCGTTGTCCGCACGTCCACGCGCCTTTCTCGTCGAAACGTCCGCGAATCGGTAAAACAGTGGAAACCGATTTAAAAATACCGGAAACCAAAAAAAAAAAAAAAAAAAAACGCGTTTATTGTTATTATTATTTATTTTTTTTTTGTTTCCATAAAAACAAAATGTTATTATCGACCAAACGTATACCCAGTAAACGACGTAATTTAAAACCGGCGGACATAATATTCGAATATACGGTTTAACGGGATCGTGATGATGCACCGGGATACCGAAAATAACTCTAATTTCACGCACAGAGAACCGGCAACGACGGTGACTGTATTATATAAAGCCAAATGGCAAAGAAAACAGAAAAAAAAAAAAACCGATCTTAAAGCACATTTCACAATGTATAAACGAAAATAACGGTTTCATTATTATACCTACGCAATTATACAATATCGTATACGCATATAGTTCGTACGAACGTTTCATGCCGTACGCAACTATCGAAAAACTACAGTCGTCTCGGGCGTACACCGACCGATTATTATCGTGTCTCGGAGATCCGCGCACGATGATACGTGAGTTTTTTTTTTTATACGGTTCGTGTGTGGTTTTTTTTCTCGAAAAATATTTACTTTTTCGTATGTAAATAAAATCGAAGCGCCACTATCTGTCTGTCCGGGCTAATCTCTGAAATCGATTTCGACCGGTCTTTCACTGCGAGTATTTTCCGGAGAACATATTACACGTATATATATATATAGGCTACTTTTTATTTCGCGATCCGACCCCCGAGGAGCGGACGAACGCTGCGTTTTCCGTATTACAATTCGAAAATTCGTTTTTTCGCGGGTCACCTTGATGGTTTCGTTTAAAAAACAAATGTTCTTCTTTTTTTCCTTGGCTGCTATACGAATCTACAGTTTCATCTCGATATATCGATGCACTTTCGCATCTACGTGACGTTTAAAACAACAATAGCGAACGTCGCTGACGCAAGGTTTTTGGTGTTATCGGAACGGAAATTTGTGTGTTTGTAGGTTTCCTTAGCGACGCGGATAAAACGAAAATAGTTGTTTTTAATTAATTTTTGCTGTTGCGGGCAAGAAAATGCGTTTTCGAACGTGCGGCTGCAGCGGTTAACTGCAAAGGACGTTCGACAGAGTGCCGGCGGCCAAACGCGTTTTTATATTTTTGATTAATCGTTCGATACGAACGCGGGCAATGTACACCTAGACACATAAAATTCAATCGATTTTAATTGAGTGTGTAGTTTTATTTTAGTAGTATAATTTTAAAATCGCCTTTTCAAACTCCACGACCGTTGAAATGTCCGTCAAAACGTTAACTGCGTCACGTGATACGATTTTAAACATTCAAAGATTTCGGTCGGAACCATATAGACCAGTGGTTCTTAATCTTTTCCGTTTCAGCGCCCCATCGCACCAATGGAACAGACCAACTGACTGCTAACATCCTCTCGCGCAAAATTATAAGCTTGCCATTATCTTATTGATATTTTGCTTTCGCTATTTTTTTGCCTAACAGTATTACAGCAATCTTTTGCTGATGATTTTTTTTTCTGGACACCTCGAAAACAACAGGAATCTTGGCCAACCGTAAAGCATATTCCTTAATCCGGCCCTGTACACAAAACTATTCTGATTTCACGTGCGATAATACGTGTCGCTGGACGATGGTGTTTTTTTATTTTTCCATCGTTCCGCATTTAAAAGCGCAGCGCCCGTCCAACGAACCGTTAAAACCTACCGCCCCATCGAGGGACCGAAATGCCCCCTAGGGGGCGGTACCGTACACGTTAACAACCACTGATATGGACGTACGAAACAAAACGCATAAAAAGCCGAACGTATACATACATGCGTGTATATGTATACATATGCTAAAAGAGAGTTCACGGGATAGATAACGTTATTATGTGAAATTTGACTGCCGCGACGGAAAAACCGTGCTGATAAATCGGCTGATAAAAAAATATTTGTTTAAGCGTGAATTGATACGCGTTGCTGTACATAGAGACCGGCGCATAGACTAATAATTGCCACTGTTATGGGAACGATTTCGAATATTTTTCGTATATTGTCGCGTTTATCGCGTAATCCGCGGACCAAACGAACGTGTCATCGATCAAATTCGTCCTGGCGGCGGTGGTATTGTGCAGTCCGCCCCCGGCTTCGCGTCGCATTCGCCCGTTTATTGCGGGAAATATCGTAACCGACCCGCGTTTAATTATTTAGATACGACGGAAAATCAACAACAAAACCCGTAAATAAAATTAAAAAAAATATAAAAAAAACGGCCGTGTTCGTTTGTTGTTGTTGACGTGAACTCGGTTGCGGTCGATTGTTTCGACGACGTTTTCGTTATTTTTTCGACCCGCCGAATTTTTCGTCGAGTATTTTTAACTGCATACGACTAAATTATGTGTTATTACGAAACGGTGTTACGCGGAGGAGATGGGGAGGGGGGGAAGGGGGTTTGAAATCTTATAACGACGATCGATTAAATTACGATTTTGTATACACTCGTGCGGTTCACGCCGCGAGTGTATTACCCGTATATGGTCGGGAGGAGGGGTTGAGAGGCGCGTTCCGAGGATATTAAATTTTCCGAATAAATCGTTTGTCAATACGTCAGCGGCCGATGCCGCCGCCGCTCCGTCGTGAAATAGTTCAATCGGAAACGTATTGAATTGATGTTTTGTGCGCACTCGTATACCTATCGTACGCGCGCGCGCGCGTGTGTGTGTGTGTTTGTGTGTGTGTGTGTGTGTGTGTCTGTGTGTGTGTGTGTGTGTGTATATGTGTTTGCGTGCGTGTGAGTGTGTGTTTGTGTGTAGCGCGAGTGCGTGTGCGAGTGAACGCGAATGTGAAACGGACAAAGAGCGCGCGACAATCGATGCGAAAGAGGGACGAGAACCCTTTGCCACCGAAGAATTTTTCTGGCACATAAACCCCCGTCGTCGTCGTCGTGTAACAATCATACATTATAATATCATACGGGTATAATAATAATAATATAATGTCAAACATCGGTACGTAATGATTTATATCGTTGTGTTCGGTGTTAAAAGAACAACCGGGACGTTTACGCGTTGCGAACCGAGAACGCGGCACGTCGCGATACGCACTCGTACGAGCTGAACGCACGGACTGGCCGAACGCGAATAATAACCGGAAGAAAATATTGATTTGACGAAACGTAGAAAAAAAAATCCGAACAAACGATCGCGTAGTTATCGCGAAACGCCCGCTTGAAAGACCGGATAAAATGTACGGCCACTCGGTACGGCGAGTGTGTCGGCGCCGCGAATCGGAAAACACGCCGACGTGCCCGCGACGGCACCGCCGGATGTCGCGGTACGGATTTCCGGCCGTCCGCCGTCGTGTTCGCTTCCTAGGCGCCGCGAAATGCCCCGTCGCGCTAGGCTCGCCGGCGATACGTTCCGTTATGTCGCCGCGCGGTCCGTCGGGTCCGTCGGGAGCGCCTACCCGAAAGCCGGCGCGCGCGCGTTTTACAACGTCCGGCGATCGCGACGACGTACCGCGGCGGACGCCTCGGCGACAACGACAACAGTAATAACGTCGAGAAGAGAAGTGCGCGCGTAAACGACGTTTTANTACGATATCGTACGTTTTTTTTTTTTTTTTTTACGCGCATATGTTACATATTAATATATATATATACATATGTGTGCGTGTGTGGATTTTTTTTTTTTCTTTCTAAACGAATAATACGCGCCGTATTTGCATAACAATGAAACGGCGGCGGCGTCTGGCGGTAACAACTGCGCACACGCGCGCGCGCGGTCCCCGGCCTCGCGCTCGCGATGAAGGATTACGCGACGGGTCGGCGAATTAATTTTCATTTTCGTTCGTTCTTTTTTTTTTTTTTTTATGTCCCCTCCCCTCCGTAATACTTTACGACGACAAGACGAGCAATAATAATAATACGCGTCACTAATTTTTATTCTACGCTCGTGTATATTATTATACTGTATAGAGGTACGTATACGCGTATATTATTATTTATCGTAATAAACGAAAACGACACCGAAAAGTGCTTTACAATAGAAAAAAAAAAAAAAAAAAAAAAAAAA